GTTGTAAATTGGTGCATCAAAAGCTCACCGTCCTTGATTCAGTACAGTGCGGGCAATGATCGTGGCGAGTCATACTGTACACCACTGAAGAGCAATTTGAGCCTCAACTCGCACTTCATGAACGCAATCATACAAATTCAATCACTCCGATGTTGCGTAAGGGGCCCAAAGCTCAATAGATGCTCTCAATTTTATGGTGTCGTCATACTTTGCGAACTGATTATGTTTACAGTTATCAAGAATGTCTAAGGCGCCTGTCTGTCTGTCTATGAGCGCCTCAAGCCCCCATATCTTCTCTTAAATAGCTCCAGCTACCTGTCTGTCCTCCAAATCCTCTAAAGGGGTATCAACCATTAACAAATAAGATAAACCAGGAGTCACAGACCCTATCTTGTCTGATGCTCGTAAGCCGTGTTCCTCTATGCCCAATGAAATAACCCAGGTTCGCCAATAAATCCAATCCCTTGTTTGTTCTTTTGCCCGTACATGACGCCCAGTCTTTTTCCCGCTCTAAATCATAAGTTTGAAACTGCGATCGCTGCTACTATAGCATCCAAAGCACTGCTGTGCGAGGGGCCAGTGGCATCAATGTAAGGCCCGGCCCAAGAAACGCCCAGCTTGTTGTCTTTGCTGCGGCTCTTCCTCCAAATGGAGATGGCGTTCTTGGTGATAAAGCGACGATACAAGGGCTTTGGTGAAACAGTGTGCAAGTATCGGAGGTTTCTGACAAAGATACCTTTGAACTGCTGTCCGTCTGCACCACAGTGACCCTCCTTGGTCTCACAACCGTCACTCTCGACAAGGATACCATCTTTGTTGGTAAGTTCCTTGATAGCAGCATAGGCGATCTTGTGTGCTTTGTCGGTATAAGCGTCGTCTCCTGTGGCAAGCGAAAGTTCGACGAGAGCGCCCAGAATGACTCCTTGGTTGTAACTCCAAGTCTGAAGACCGTTATTCTTGCATTCGCCGTTCAACCCATCGTTAATAAGTCCCTTCTCGTTGATCATGCCACTGTCGGAGAACCAGTTCCACTGCTTCTTGGCTATGTCGAGGTATGTGCTATTCTTTGAAACACGTCGTGCTAACGAAGCAGCAGTTGCGAGATATAGTTCGTTTGCAATTGCATTGACGTAGCCTGAGCCATCTTCTCCCTCCTTCTTCCACCTTATACCGCCACCGCAAGGTGTGTTTGTGCCGGTCTGCATGTCGTTGAAGATGTCGATAGCAGCCTCGAGATACTGGTCATTGCCAGTTGCATCTGATGCTCTGATCCATGCCAGAGCCCACCAGCCTTCGTCGTCGTAAAACTCGTTGAGGAAGTCGTCGAAACCACGCTTTCCCAAGAAGCCTCGCTTCATCATACAGCCTGAGCTGGAGTCTATACAGTAAGAAGAGGCAACGAGGCCGTTTGTCATTGTTTTCATGGTATGGACCGTTGTCTTTTGAGCGTTTTCGTAGGTTGTGGCGAGAACCCCTCCAATATTTAACTTGTTGGCTTCTTCGAGACGTAGAGTTGAGAAATCAGAGAGCGTGGTTATGATCTAGTTGTTGTTAGTTTTGTGTCTAGTATAAGAGACTCTAGACATAGACTGACATTTGCACTCGACCACCAAGCATTATCCCACACACCAGTGGCAGAATTGTAGAATTCTTCATTTAGAACTTGGATAGCAGTAACTGCCTTTTCAGTATATGTGGTGACGCCTCGAGCTTGAGTTGAAGGTTTGACTGAAGTAACGAAAGTCGTCCCGGTAAATAGATCCGCCCAGGGGATATGCATATTGAAAGAATGAAAGTTAAGGAGACAAGGGATTTGATGGCATTGAGGAAGGAGAAAGCAATATCAGAAATGAATAGAACTTTTAATAACTCTCAGAGTTTGAATGAATCAGAGAAGAGGCGTGAAATGAAATGAAGCAACAGCTCGGGTATAAGATATGAGAAGGGATCAGGAGATCTATATAGCTACCTACGTACAAACAAGAAGATCAAACTTTTTGCCCTCAAGTGGATGCCTCTTTGTCTAAACCCACACCAAACTCCCCCATGCAAGACTTGCATTGCATTGACGTCCATTGATGAGTGAATGTTTCCTCCAACGTGGGCATGGCCATGGCCGCGACCAGCACCACTTACGACATGGCATAGCGAGAGAAAAGCCCTCCAGGGGTACAGGCTACGGGTACCGCACAGGATGAGGACGCCAACGCTACGGTTAGCATAATGCTGAACTGTTGCTGTCCCAGCCAAGACTCAGTGGGGTTATGTGGACTCGGAGCAGCTCCCATCAGTGATTGGGTGAGGAAGTGGTTGAAGGTGAAGATGCGACGCGCCGATGAAAGTCGTGATGGGGCGCTTGATGTTTCAGACCCAGGACTACGGGATAGGTTCCACAGAAGAAAAAGAGACTGCCGGGGCACTAAGATAACCCCTGACGCTACAGGTGGCTTTTAGTGGACGGACGGCACGCTACTAATTCTTTATCCGTCGTGGTCTCAGGACATCGACCTTATCTTTTGTTAGCCGTGCCACGTGCTTGACCTGATACTCAGGTCACCTTCAGCTACATCTGAAGATATCAACGACAGACTTTGATAGACACGGCACGGGGATAACTCCCAGGTTGATCCTGCAAAGCCAACATAGAGCAAGGACCAAAAGCAAGAGAACATCTCTAGATCTGCAGACCATTTTCTTGGAGACTTGATGAGTTGTACCAGATCCCTGCAGGCCGATCCTCAAATCATCATGCGTATCCTTCTCTCTATGATCGCCTATTTTTCTGCTGTGCTGTCATGGCTTCGGAGCCGGGGTTTGGTGTTTCAAGCTGTATGCCAATATTATGCGATAACGACAATTCGCCAGTGGACTTCCAATACTACCTACACAAACAAGATACAGTTAGATCTTGACCCTCTTCAGAATCATCCCATCCCATCTCATTCCATCCAAACCTATTCTTGTTCATGCCAGCGCATCTTGTTGGACAGCCCTAAGGTGGCATTGCTGGTGCTCCTGAAGTATTATCTTGTCTGCACGACTCCGGGTTCATCATCCCCTTACTTGAAGTCTTATCTTTGTGTTTCGTACAACATCTTTGTCTCTCGGAGCATATCAGCCTCCGCTGTAGCCGCTTAGGTCGTGGGCGCTTCTTGTATCTAGCTTATCTTCCTTGTTCATCACCTTAAACAATCGACGCCTTTGACCTCGATCCTTGCACGAAGCCGATTGAATTTCCAAGCACGGTGTCACTTGTGTCCTGATCGGAAGAGGGCGACAGCTGAGCTTGTTGTATAAACGCCTTCATCGGGTCCGTGATTGTCGGAGGTAAAGTATAAGTTACTATATCGAGCTGCCAGTCGTCCAACTGAGACTCACCCTTGCCAGGAGGTTACTGTAAAAAGCACAACTGAGGTGACATCGGAAAAAGGACGGTCATGTCACAAAGGGAATGAATGAGTGTCGATTATCGCATTGTTTAATAATTTTGACAAAGCCTTTACCGACGGAATTACCATGTCGATCTCGGAGACGATCTGTTGATGCGGCGTGGCTCATGATCACATTTTGCATTGCTCAGCTTGTTCTCAAGAGGTAGTGATTTTCAGTTGAGGGTGGAGAAGCGCAGAAGTTTCATCGAAACTTCCGATCAGTTGAAGCCTGAAGACCCAACAAGGGCCGCAACGCGAGATAACTCAAGGAAGATCGATACCTTGTCATGAACATGCAAGTCGCAGCCAACCAACAAAGTCGAGACCCAAGGCGGTGTTCCGTATTTAGGACGGCAGAGAAAAAACGGCAACTTTAGCGCGTCTAACATTTTTACCCTCTACGGAATAGGTCCTCTCCTTTCCCTTCTGTCCTTTTCCCCCGAGAATCTTTAGTTGAAACAAACCATTTCTGGGTCGAGTGGAGGTTCATGACTAGGGCAGGAGACAGGCCTCGGGGAGCAAGAAAACAGCAAACCTTGATATAGGGTGCCAAAATAAACTCATCAAAAGCTATCCTAAGTTTAGACTATATTACCTAAGTCTTTTTGTTATTTAGGATCGGGGTTCTGTGTTTTCTTTCCTCCCCTAGACAGGCCCGTTGTACCTGCAGCTGCTGCACTGGAGATCTCTGTGCAACCTAAGTGCAGATGGATGCAGGAGCACCTGTGCACTAATAAAACCCACAGAGCCTCAACTACCTTGCCACGAAGGCTTTCCACATTCATCATACACACATAACCTTACAAAGAAAACCAGAAAATGCGCCATTTACATTATCAGAGTAAACAAGCAGGATCAGGCAGTTCCCGCTTCGATTCTTTCTTCGTTACGCCCTTGTCTACTCGTCCCAAGCGCCTCGTAAACTTTGATCTCAGCGGCAGCTGAACGACAGGGCGGGCATCGTGGCGCTTAGGTCGACCTTGTTCAACTCCATCCTAAGACAAGGTCACCAATGATACCCTCGTTCATTGGCTTTCAATCTTTAACCCATCTTCCGAACTTGACAACGTGGGCTTGTCGTATTATTATTGAGTCCGGCGGTTCTGGCAGTCTCTCAGACCAGACTCTTCAGATATGGAAAAACTATTCCTGGAAGAAGCTGTGGCCTCGCCAAAAACAAGATCCTAACAGTCTTGGCGACAATGAACCGAGCGCCAGACCGCAAGAACCCTTGCTTCGGCGGCGCCTCCTACCTGTTGTTGAACATACAAATCTGAATCGGGCTCGATTTCAAGCAATTATTGAATGGTAAACACGCCCTTCATAGAACCATCACGATGCGGACATGGTCGTGTCGATGCTCGAATTGGGCTATCAGTCAAAATCTACCTGACTTTCTCCAAAAGTAAAGGAGGATATGATCAAAATAATCTACATGATGAAGCAAAACAAATGAAAAGGACTACTTATCCTGGGGTATAGTGCACATACGCCTCTCAACGCCTTTCGCCATAACGAACGCATTTCGTCTTACACATAACATTCCATCAAAAGACTCCTCGATTTTACTTAATTGCGTACGCTTGCACTGCTTGTGATCGGGGTTGGAAGCGACGGCGTCTCGTTGCTGCTGATCGAGCCGGCTACGCTTCCGGGTCTTCCTGCTCGGCTGGCTTTCCGAGACGAGAACCGAGACAAAACAGACAAGGACTTGTTTCTCTCGTTACTCAAGATGCTTGCTCTGTCGGAGCCTGAGTTGCCAAAACCGCGTAGCGTGGCTATGTCAATGAACGCCTGAGGGAAGATTCCTGTCTTGCCCTTGGAATTCGTCCCCGACCAGCACCAAAATTCTTGATAAGCCCCTATTTACGAGTCAGATAAACAGTCTTCCTTGACATTGCTTGAGGGGACAACTTACAACTGACGTTGGTAATGACTTCATCTTTGTCAAACTTGAGCCAGTCGCCCTTGGCTTTGTCCTTCTGGTTAAACTTCCATCTTGCGGTGACTTGGACTGGGCTGGTGCCGTCAATCTTGATCTGACTGGATGGTGGCGGATCCAGCTTAATGATCTCAGTGGGCACTGATGCCCATTGACCGTCGTACCAGCCCATTGCCCATTCTCCAAGGTACTTTGCAGGCCAAGTAAGACCACAGACCCTTGCGTTAACAACCAATTCAAGCGCCGGCGTCCTATCGTACAACAGTCTCTGCCCGTACATACGGCGAGCAGCTTCCTTGCTGGTCGCGGTTGGCAAATACGATATCTCATCAGCCTTTTCAATTGCAGGGTGTGCTTCGACAGGTGATTTGAAATGAAGGTCGTAGTCGTTCTTGTATTCGGCAGGAACTTCAGTCTGGTCGATCACTGTGAATCCTGGGACTGCTGGCAGAGGACGAGGATGGCGAGCCAAATGAGCAAAAAGAGCTTTCTGGCTGATGAAGACAGTTGCGTCACTGGCATGGAGAGTCTTTCCCTGCATGATACAAAACACACAGCCATACAGAACATCATCAGATCGTCGAGTTGGCAAATGGGACTTTTGAAGGAATCGCAACCTATAGCCGATACCATTTTTTATGAAGTTCCCTCGTTCTGTGGTATGATCAGCACGATATTACACGACAAGCACGATATCGAGAGGCTCCCGTGGACTTACCAGCTTTGTTGACATCCAAGTCAATTTCATTAAAGTCGAGCTCAAAGTGACACTTGACACATTTTGCAATTGTCGCTACGGTCGCGAACCCCTACGTCTCTTAGCATCAAATAACAAAAGGGACAAAGAGATGACTTACTGCTTTCACGGTCTTCTTGACTCCCGCACCACCATTCAATATTTCCTTTGCTCCATCGCAAAAGCCTTTGTGAACATAGAAGGAGCTCTGAGGGTTGAGTTTGCAGTCAATGGCAAACGGGTTTGGTGGGTGTTCGGGGATCGTAATTTCAGTTTCCACGGGAATCGGCAAGTTATCGACTTCTGGCACCATGACAGGCTGCACTGGTTCAAGCATGCCCTGGTAGTTGGTTACCGGCGGAGGCTTTACAGGCAGCGGACTTAATTCTGCAGTGCCGAGTGTCGGACTACCATCTGCCACTGAATATGAGGATTCGCGGTTGTCTGTGAGGGGGGTGGTCACTCCATCATGTCGTCCCGAGTCAAAGACAGAACCAGGATTGGTTTCGACTGATTCAGGTCGAGATTGGGGAAGCGAATGTGATCGAGGCGGAACCGTCCTTGGAGTTGGAGAAAGCTGCGAGACATAACCTGAGCTGGCCCTTTCTGAAACGACATCTTCGGGGATAGAGGTGGATAATATGGAATTGTGGCTCGAGTAGCGACCTCGTGGTGTTGGGAAGACACTGTATGTTCGTTCGTACGTCCCGGATTCCATGCCCACTGAACTAACTTGGGAGTCGTTGCTGTACTGAGACGACCGATCTCCTCCCATCTTGAGTGGGCGCGGACGAAGTTCCCTACCTGAATCTGGGCTCAGAGGTGGTGAAACCGGCTCAATGGGTGATTCTACTGGGGCTACAGGCTGTCTCCTTTCGAAGGAAAAGTCTTCTGGGAAATTATTATCGCGTGGCTTCGGTGAGGTCTTGACATTGAAGTCCCATGGGTTACCCGATGGTGGTCTTGGAGGCGGCTCAACTGGTGTGAGTACAGCCTGGGGCGTATGGCTGGGCCTTGGTGATTCAGCATATAGGCCCTCATCCGGTCCTGATCGAGATTGCATCATGCGCCGCAACTCAGCAGTAGCTGCTTCAACCGTTGCAGGGTCATTGCTAGAGCGGCTTTCGGCGAGCGAGGAAGCGCTTCGGGGAATATCTTTCTTCAGATCGGAAAATGGGTATATCGGCGGAAGAGGAGGTGCATCTGGCGAGATTGGTCTTGATTGTGACCCGGACATTCGAGTCATGATGGAGCGGCTGTCATGATCATAGGGAACCTCCAGCTTGAGGCGCATGAGAATATCGTAAACCTTTGGCGCGGCCTTCCTCGAGAGGGCTTGTAATTCGGCGAACTTTTCAGGCTCAAAATCGTCCAATTCAACGTAGTCGTCGAATTCCCAAAGTAATTCGTTGAGCTCGGTTCGGAAGGCAGCGATTTCGTCTAGGTTGGCAAAGTCAATCAATGTCGATCGAAATAATAAGGCGGGCTGAAGATGAAATGGCGACTTACCATTTTCCTTGAGAGCATCAAGGAAGTTAGAGCCATATTCGTCGAGGTGTTTTCGACATAGGGGTTCAATTTTCTTGAGCGCACGCTCGCCTTCTTTTGTCAGGCTCTGAGAGGCTTTGAGCATTGTCTTGTCATCGCCAGCATTTTGTGTAGCCTCACGACCCTTTTCGACAATGTCGCGGAAGGGCGCGATGACAAGGTCGGCTACATCATCCATGATGAGATCAAGTAGTCGAATTTCGTGGAGAGGTTGACTGGAACTTCGGAAAGGGATGTTGTGGTGAAAGAGTATGTGACAATGAATGAGGTGGGCGTGTAAGTCAATATGAGGGCCGAAAATGGGGGGCCGAAGGAATGAGGAGGGGGATCATCACACGACAGGGTGGAATTGGGTAAGGCAACCACAACGGTCATGAAGCGACTAAGGTTGGGAACTAAGGTTGGAAGAAGAGGAAGAAGAAGGGAACCAACATGGGGATGCTGCATCTATAGGATTGCCATGGCCATGACCATGACCATGGCACGGCCTACTAACATACATAATGGCCTGGCTGGGCATTCACCAGGGCACACTAGCACCCACTTGAGCTGAGAGCTTGAATCGACAGCAGTGCAGTAGGCTGCAGTCAGTGATAGTCCTAGACCTAGACTAGGGCCCTTCTTTGTTGCTCATAGGGCGATATGGCGTCTGGGCTGTCTGGTGTCATGCGGCTTGAGAGATGCGTGTACTACATGATAGGCCGACCGGAAGCCGGGCCCCGGTGAGTGCAGTGGGAAATGGTTCTATCCCCGACGACCTAGTGCGAGTAGTTAGGGGTCCCCCGAGCATTAGGGACCTGTTTTCTGGGTTCTCGAAGCAATTGTTGTCTTGAGAGAGTTGACTTGAAGAGACGGGGCGAGTTGGATGGAACTAACTAGTGGGGGTTCGAGAAGACATGGCATGGGCCTCCTTCCCTTCAGAACGATAGAAAGGCGGAGTTGCTCCACTTGCCGCTGCCCACGTTGACGGATCTACGCAACGGGATTGGGGGACTCTCTATGGCCTCATGCACCAGATTATCATACTCACTCACTAAGTAACTATTACCTCTAGGCTCTAGCAGTGGGATTTTTTAATCAAATTCTGCTCGGTCGATGCTCTCGGTAAAGTTTAAGTCATGATACATAGCCAGGGGAAATATATGACTAGTCAGAACAAGACATCTTGACCGAGAGCTCCTTTGGGTCAGAACTGATGAAGCCGATGCAGTAGTCAGGTACCGTACTCAACAGGCCAAGTTACCAAACCAGCGACAGGATAGTCGGTGATTGCGGATTGGGGGTTCAGAGACTCGTATAGCGGAATTATTAACACAATGAGCGATCAGATTACCGATGTTTCTTTGTCCCTGCTTTGTCCCGTTGCCTTGCGAGCAATTCACCATGTTTGTAGCCTTAATAAGACCCCATACCCAAACACAGCACAATGTGGACCACGGCGATCATGGAATGGGGTCAAGAAACAATGCAGGCCCGGATATGGTCCTGACAGCGCTGATCATCCAAGGCTTTAATCCATCAGAATGGATATCATCAAGGCAAACTGCATCTCATGATAGCCTAGTTAGCCTTGCTGTGGGTGATCTGAGACATGGGCTACTACAACGGGAGCACCCTAAAGTTTGTGAACAATATCTTCTAGAACACAATCACAGCGTTAATAAGTTCTTATCAACGGCCTGGGCTGAACCTTGTTTTCCGCCTAGGAGTTCATATCATTGCTGTCATGATCGCCCAGCAAACTGGCTTCTCACAGTCAATGCCCGACCACCCTCCAGATACGATACTGTAGATTCAAGTCGATCAAACAAGGCACCCAAGCCTCTTCCCAATTGCCTTGCTCTGTTACTCACTCCTTCGCTCTAGACTTTTCAGCTGCGGCGTTGTCAAGGAAGCGATCTTCTTGATGCGGCACAGCCTCCGCCCTGTCAGAGTGACACACGTGCGTTAGCGGCCCTCTGTATCATGAATGCCTCGCCCTGTGGCACGTGTCTGCCTATTTTGATCTTCATTCTTCGTCATGGCAGAAGGAAATGATAAGATGATACAAGCGAGAATAGACTTTCAATTGAACGGGGAAACACTCCTTTCACCAACAAAGCAATGTTATCTCTTCCAAACCATACCAATCGTGAGCTCATAACCGTTCGTTTACCGTAACCATCATTCCATCTCTGCCAACCTCTTTCCATCCTCCAGATTCTATCCCATTTTGCTCCAGGCCTCAGTTTTCAACCCACTTCAGGCGGCCTTCATACTTGGCACAGCAGATTTGGCCTTTCCGTTCTTCTCCGCGGCAGCTTTCTATATAAATGGTTAGCTAATTCTCAGCCGTGAATCGTGAATCATCCAAGACTTACCTGCTGCTCAATCATTCTGCGTCCGACATCAATGGTCTCATTCATACCTCTCTGGCGTTGCCAGAACCTGTGAAATTCATCAGTACGCATCGAAATATCATTTAAAGTCCACTTACGTCTCCTCGGGTGTTCCGTGACCTCGGATGGAAGTCTGTCGGGCCTCCTCCTCCAAAGCTTCGCGAGTAATCTTCTCACTGTGATCAATGCCTGGAACCGAAGACTCTTCTGATGCACCTTGACCAATGTTCTCTTCGAGAAGCTTCCTCTTCATCAAGAAACGCTCCTTGCGCTCCTTCTGCACGCCTGGGCTGTCCAACTTGCTGAGAACAAAGCGGACCGCCAGTTGGACAACCAGGTAGAAATGCTCAGCCAAAAGAATGCTAAGCAGCAGACCCCAAGCCTTGAGAGGCGATGGTTCACCATGGTTTCCGTTACCTCGGGCGCCGCTGCACAAGTACACAATAGCAGAGCTAGTGATACTACCGAGCCAAGAAATAAAGCTCAGTGCGGTCAACCAGGGCCCGATTGAGTCGGTTCGCCATGGGATTGGTCGTCGGCTGCTCGTGGCAATCTTGAGGGCATCGGATCTCAACTCAACCCAGTTGTTGACGAGGAAACAGCAAGCTGCAAGTGGCCAAGCGACCGAGAACATGGAGACATAACCTATGCCCAAGGTCAGATATTAAGTTTCACAAACATTTCCAACGTCAGCTTACCAAACTGCATGACCATTTCACGGTAGTCTCCCGAGACATCATACGTCTCGAGAGCACTCTCCTTGCGTACACGCTCAAGGAATTCGGCTTCCTCCTCGTGGTCGTCCTGAATCTTTGGCTGGGACTTGAGGGCCTTGGCTTTCTGGAGTGCCTCTCGCTTGAGGTAGGGTACCACAACCTCGGTAGCAAAGTTTACGATCTGAGCCGTAACTGTGAAATAGAACATCTGGTTGCTGATTCGAGCAGGGTTGATCTGAAACTCCCTTGTCGGAAGCGGCTTCTCACTGAAGGTGACAACCTGGGCAGTCTTTCTCCAGAATTCGAGGAAAGGTACCAGGACATGGCCGAAGGGAATGTAGACGAATGCTGTGAAGAAAAGAGCCATGTAAGAGGTCATGAAGTTGAGGACAAATTGCTTCTGAATGAGAGCAGCATCGTGTGCTACGAAGGTTAGCTTCGACTAATTTGAAATGGTTAACGTTCATACCATCAACAGTAGCATAATTCTCCATTGAGTTTAATTTCTCAGCAGCGCTCATGAGCAGGCTGGAGATAGTAGGAGTACCCAGAACCAGAAGAATAGTTGGCAAGAAGCCCTAGTAACCAGTCAGTTATGTTAGTGAGAGCATTCAGGTCAACTTACCAGATATTGCTTGCCAGGACCATTGTAGACTTCATTGATGAAGACCTCAAGGGAGTTGCAGGTCACAATCAAAGCACCCAAAGCAATAACACAGGCCAGAGCAAAGGGGATTTGAAGCAATTGAGTCTTGATGCGCTTCATGGGCTCATATACCTTAACAACTTCGCCAGTGACAGGGTCCTCAGCTTCGCGATCCCACTCAAACTCAGGTCTCGCCTGCTGGATACTGGAAACACCCCGGACACCCCATTGCACGGCAAGGTCGACTTCTTGTTTCTTCCAGTACTCGAGAAAAACGACAGACCAGAGACCGCAGAGCAGGGCATAGAGAAAAGAGAATTGTCCGAGCAGAAGCCATGCGACAAAGCCGAAACCAAAGGGGATGACGAGGAAGCGGAAGTAGGATCGCAGGAAGGCGAAGTAGAAGGCAACGCTTTCACCAAACTTGTCTCGAATATCGTCGATGTCGCTCTGCTCCAGGATATACTTGCTGCTCCATTTCTTGATCCAATCCTTGTTGAATTTGTGACTGTGCAGAGGAAATATGGACTCAACGTATTTCCACTTGGCATTGGACGGAGTAATTCCAGCACCACCTTCGTTACGCGGCTTCGTTATCATGAGGTAGATCAAGCGCAGGCGCTCGGCTTCAACTACGGGCTCATCCTGAAGGGCTTGTTTAACGTCGTTATGTGGGGCCGAGACTCGAACGCCGTGCAGCCAGTCGGCAAGGCGGGCGCGGTAGACTTGCTTCGCGAAGAGATCGGGGGAAGCGACTTTGACAAAGACGAGGAGGGAGTCGTTGTCGCCGTGACGAACTTCGGTGGCTAGACCAACGGTGGTGAGGGCCTGGATGAGCTGGACAAAGCCGGCTTCAGCTTCTGCGCGTTCTATGGTGTGTTAGTTGCGTGAGGGTCCCTGAAGAGTATTATTTACCTGAGGGGGGGACCTTGTAGTGAATGACAAAGTCGACGCTGCATTGTGTTAGTTCTGCTCGATTGAATACTTGTCTCGTGCTGACCCAAAGTTGCTTGTCTGGCTCTCATCGCCAGATTGGCTGTACAGGTCCTTTAGATTGGACATATTTAGCAGAGGTTGACCATATGCTATAACCTAGAGGAGATGTTGAAGGAAGAGAAGCAAAAGAGGAGGGGAAGGGAGAGAGGAAGAGGTTATCGACACAGAAACGAGACAAGACAAGATGAGACAAAAGAGCAAAACAGGGCAGGGCAGGGATATGAAAACTGATATGCAGTGTATTGAGGCATCCAATCCAATGAGGTTGGGTCGATGACGATGGGTACTGTAAAAGGTTGGAGAAACAAGCTTTAGTTAAGATCCTAGCCCAGCTGAGGGGAGCTTCAGCTTTGCAGCTCACTTTCACTGTGCTGTAGTGGGGAGATTGGCACATTAGGCGACGTCACCACACATTTTGGCCAAGATATGATGCATGGCAAGGATATGATAGAATTACCTTGGTTACCTTATATATAGTAGCCCAGCTGCATATGATATGATGCTATTCACTGAAATTATATATACTACCTAAGTTTTGAGTATACTATTACTCTTCATCGATACTCTGCTTCTTTTGCCACAACTTGCTTGAGAGGTTACCATAGGTATGAAGGTAACTGAAGCTTGGAGCATGCCAATGGCTTTCACATGTCGAAGAGTTGGCTCACTTTGACGACCTTTAGTCGTGGGTGCGCCTTGGAACTTTTCAATGAGAACAATGATTTATGAAGAGGCTCAATGTCAATGGTCTCTCATTTATCAATTCCGATATTAACACTCGATACTTTTTTTGTCTAAATTGTAAATTGTAACCTTCTGTAACATTTTCTCAAGGCCATGGGGTACATAAAGAGAGGTAGGGATGGGTGCTGTCAAGTTAGCGTCACTGTGGGGTCGTTTATAGCTGGAGCTTTCGTCACCACCGCCCACAGCTCATGGCTCATAGCTCTTGTATGGTCACTCCACACTATTCTTACCTTGAGCTATCACAGCTACAGCCTACAGCTCATCATTAGCTATAGCTCTCCACTCCCTCACTCACTCACTCAGTTACTGAGACGCCTCAGTTTGTTCCTCTCATCCAATTGAAATCTCATTCTCAACTCTCCTAGCTCAAACTCCCTGACCTCATACACGCCCATCATGGGCCTCCTCTCCTGTATAGGCCTTCGTCGCCGGAATCAATGGGAGCCCATGACTCTCCTCGACCATCTCATCTCATCACCTTTAACATATCTCGCGTTCCTCTTCTACCACGCTGTACTCCTCCTCCGCGGTCGACCCTTTCGCCCACCGCGTGACAAGCCTGCCATTCGCGTCGTCTGCATCTCCGACACACACGATCTCAAAGTCGACATACCCAACGGTGACATTCTCATTCATGCAGGAGACCTTACAGATTCCGGCACCGTAGAAGATATTCAGAAACAGCTTGGCTGGCTTCGGGAACAGCCTCATCCTGTCAAGGTCGTCGTTGCAGGTAACCACGACAGTTGGTTCGACACCAAGAGTCGACATGAGGAAGATGCGCGCTCAGGTGCTAAGCCTAACATGGAGGGCCTTCATTATCTTGAGAGCGGCTTGACTGTGCAAAAGATAAAGGGTCGAACCGTCAATATCTTTGGTGTTCCTGATATTCCAAACATTGGTCCCAAGGAGTTTGCGTAAGTCTATAAAAGTTACAGCTATACCGTGATAACTAATAGAATGATGCTTTAGCTTCCAATATACTCAAGATAAACACCCTTGGTTGAGCAAGGTACCTCCGCAAACCGACATTCTTATCACCCATTGCCCTCCGGTAAGCCTCTCTTGTTCGAATGTGGCAACTTTTCAACTTACACACGGTCAGAAACATCATCTTGATCTTGGTCTCGGGGACAGCAATCTCCTCCGTGAAGTTTGGCGCGTAAAGCCCCGTCTCCATGTCTTCGGCCACGTCCACTTTGGCTACGGTACAGAATCAGCCTTTTTCGATACCTTCCAGGAGACTTACGAACGTATCATGTCACGGCCTCGTCGCGGTCTGATCCGAGACTTCATCCCTAACGAGGCGTGGCTGGATTATCTGCGTCTTGTAGCCCAAGGCCTTCATAGCGTGGCTTGGAAGTGGCTCATGTCAGGTCCTGGAAGTAACAATGGTAGTCTTATGGTAAATGCTGCGCAGATGAATGGCAACTCGGGCAAAGTCAAGAGTAGGGCAGTTGTTGTTGAAATTTGAAATACCAAGCAAGCAAGTTTAAATATATACAAGGTATGTTTTCAACTCCGAGTCACCTATAGCCTCCGAGAACTCAGTGGAAATATCTGAAATATCATCTTATTGGTATTATCGTGCATTAAGCTCTAATATGTCGTGACAAACAAAAGGAATATCGACTATCGTAGTTGAACAAACATGTACCCTTTCCAACCATAATCCAACATGTCTATGTTTTTGTATATCCTGTACATTTCCAGTATTAAGTCCTCATGAAGAGAAGAACGGATGAAACAAATATCAAATCAATACCAAGGGCGCCTAAAGAGATAAGGCCAGAATTGCCATGGCCACAATCGCAAAGTAAACGAAGAAGTCATCGACTCTCGATGAAGCGCTTGAGACCGCGGCTGGCGCACCCGATGCGCCCGGCGTTGGTGTAGCTTGAGAAATCGGTGTGTTCGGCCTTCCAGGGGACGGTACAGGCAGAATACTCATCGTCTCAATGTCTGATACAGTAAGGACAACCGTGCGTCGCAAGGTTCTTGTCTCGGTAGAGACGGAGTTCGTTTCCGTGCCATATGTGACCAGTTGGGTTGTCAAGTATGTTATCACGATCGTCGTTACTTCAGGGCCAGCATTTGCATTGCTTCCCATTCCGGTTGGCACGATAGGAGGAATTTCTCGTGTCTGATCTGGGACGACTCCTGCAGCCGCATTGCCGGTTGCTTGGGTTGCATTGGTACCAGCACCAGTGACGGTGACGGTGACATGGACGGGCACAGTCAATGTGACTGTATTTTCACCATTTGTACCACAGCCGTCGCATTCAACAACCTTCGTAGCCATTGCGGGCTGGATTAAGGTGGGAGTATCGCAGTAGTCACACAGTGAGTAGCTCATGGTGACGATACTTTCTTGAGGTACAAGTGATCCGGGGTTCGTTGGGAGCACTGTGAAGAAGGTGATCGTGCTTGTGACAACTGTGTCGGGGATAGCTTGTGTTGCTTCAATAACTTCGCCATCAGACAAGCCACCTCCTCCATTAGCAGGCGAGCTGCCTTGACCACTTCCACCAGTTGGACTTGACGAACCACCGGCGGCGGCAGTTCCATCAACACCGGGGCCCATGCCAGGTGGAACATCAGGCTGTCCAGCGTCGCTGAGGTCGGCATACACTGTGAGTAGGATGTTGTTGGGAGCGTCTCGGCGGAGAGGAATGCTTCGTTTAGACCTTTGAGAGACCATACCACCACAGAATTGATCATCGTTTCCAGGACAAGGGCGATTGCATGAAGACTCGTTGCGCAAAGCACGGGTATCGGCGTCAAGCTTAGAGGCGCAGTAGCAGGTTCTATAGAAGCAGTCAGTTGAATGTTGTTTTGCGTTTCGATTTGAGCCACTCACCCTTCAAAGAGACCGATATAGGTCAGGCCGTTACAAGCTTCAATGCACTTCTCGATGGTCATATCGTCGCTCTCAGCTTTCTCATTGAAAGTCTGGAAACCAGTCTGCGATCCGAAACAACCAAGATATGCATAATCATCAATCTTAGCTGGGTTGACTGAGCTTCCACCTGTAGCAACAGGAAGAGAGCTAACAGTTGCACTATTGGTTCCAGAGCCAGGAATTGTGACCTCGACAGAAGAGATGCCTGTCAATGTTGTTGTAGTTGTGGGCTCTGCTGTTGTGGATTCGCCTTCCTTGGGCTGGGGACGAGTGATGACGGCGGTGCTGTTCGGGAATCTAGTGTTCCCTGAGATTGGAGTGTTGGGGCCAGGAGTGCTCGCTGAAGGGATGGAGATCTCTGTAGGTGCCTCGCTGGTTGATGATGGGACAACGGGCGGGACATCTCCTCCCAGGCGAGTGTAGACATCGATGTAGCTAACATCAAAATAGGCGTCTTGGAAATCCAGAGGGTTGTTTGCAACATATTCACGGCAAGTTGGGGCGAGAGCTCGGCAAGTTTCAGAACTTCCCCAAGTTCCCTCGCCATAATCGCCGCAGAAGTTCTAGACAAGTCAGTTAGTTCAAGATCCTCAGTTCATTATCGTGGGAACCACTTACAATGTTCAGAACAATCCTCATGTCGTTGAAATATTCGTCAACGTTGCACTTTGAACCACCAAACAGACTCTGCGGAAGTCCCCATTTCTTAGGATCAGGTCGTTTGGCTTCGATATCAGCCGGAATTGCGCCTCGTGGGAAGTGCCAGATCGAGATATACTCTGAGTCCCACTCCATTGCATAGACACCACCGCCGACTGCGTTGAAGCCATCACCGTAAGAGGAAGTGTCACTTGCGGGCGGGGTGAAGCCACATCCAACATTGTCTGTACCAACAGCACAGTCCAAGCTCTGGGGGTTTCCAGAGAAGAGATTCGAGTCTGCGGGGTCTAGCATGCAGCCATCGGCCGTGTGTGCAGACATGATATTAGTGTAAGCCAAGTTGGCGCCCTCAAGGATATCAACTTCGCCATTGTTGGGCCAGTTGGCACCGTATGCCCAGACTACATTCACCATGTTAGTTCATCTTCTACTCGAGGGATAGTTTGGGGGATCATACAGGCTGGCCAAGTACCACACTGTGAAATGGGCATGTGTTGGAAATCTGCGATGAACAATCCATACTGATAGGATTCCTTGCTTTCAAGTCGAACACTAGGTCTTCCTTCGTTCAGACCAAATTTCCGAGCGGAGTCGGGTCTAAGTCGAACGGTATTGCTGAAAGGATCCACAGAGTATAAGCCATATTGCTCGGCACCCTCTAAGTCTTGATATCTGTTATGGTGTTAGTAACAAAAGAAGCCTAAGACGAATAAGTCTTTCTCACTGTACGAATCCATTCGACAGATCACGGCCATTG